AGGAGGGTCCCTCCCCGAAACAGTGGCGGGAGCTCTACGGGAACACTGGCCTTGCTGCGTGGCGGGGGCTCCCCAACCGCGCTGCTACGCCACTCGCCTGCTCTGGTCAATCCGGCCCCAACTGCCAGCGTAACGGGGGTTTCTTCACCAGCTGGGCCCTGGCTGTGAGCAGAAATTTAGAGCGTACCCAGGAGCCATGACGTGAGAGCCTGGAACCACCCCTCCGTCACGAGCGCTGGGCTCTCTGCTGTACCCTGAGGGGTGGTGGCAGAGCTGACCCACCCAGGCACCATTCCTCCCGGCTGCCTCCCCGCTGCCCCTGCCACCTTCAGCGAGCGACTGGTGCCCACGATGCAGGTGCGCTGGCTGCACCGTGGCAAGGGAGGTTACAATCCAGCTGGCCCGAGGGAGGCTGCTCCACAAACCAGCTGCTCCAGCTTGACTGAATTAGCTTCACAACGCAGTAGTTAGGAAGCATTTTGAAAGTGGCTTTTTCTCTGATCTTTATGTGTAAACCACCAGCATCCCCCATGCAGGCGGGAGCCGGGCTCGCCAAGCCTCTGCCTGCAGAGAGCAGAGCTAAGCCGCAGCTTGAACGCTGGAGGGAGCCGGCTGCATCAGCCTCAAGCTGGGAGCCAAGGGCGGAACTTGTGCCTGTGAAGTTTTGGCTCCTGGGGTGGATTGGGGGGGCGAGATACATAGGCATCATTTAGGGCGCTCTGCTGATCTGCCCACAACCACCGCTCTCCCCTGCAGCTGAGCTGAGGGGGGCTGCAGCGGCGCGGCAGGAGCACACAAGGTTCATGCAGAACAAAGGCACAAAGGTCTGAACCCGGCCTTTGCGAAGCCACGTCCATGCTCGGGACTCCCCCGGTTGCCCACAGCAGTGCAGGCTGGGAGCGCGAGTGCAGGCCGGGCGCCAGCGCTGGGCACAGCAGCTCCGAATAGGGCTAGGTGAGATGGTGCCTCTTGATGCAGCTTTCGGGGTGATGCAGCAGTGGTGGGAACCCTTGATGGGAAAAGCCACCTGCAGACACGTGAGGTGTGGAGCAGCCTCCTTTCGCACCGTGGGGTGGCCGCTGTCGGCCAGCATCGGCTCGGGGAGAGGGCCGCTCTGCTGCCGTGAGCACACGCCACATCTCCGAGAGACACCTGGTCATTTCATGGCCCCCGTTGTGTGCAGAGCTCTGCCCAGGACGGAGGTGACGACGTGGCTGCAGTGGGTGTGGCGGGGTCAGTTCTGGGTGCTACATGTAACGCTAGCTATCCGCATGCAAGGCACAGCATGAACTGACAAGGCAGCGAGACGCTTCACAGCATCACAAGCCATCGAGGAGAACCACTCCCCTTGCCATCAAAACGCAGCTGCCTCTGGGGTGAGATGTGGCGTTGTTAGAACGTCAGTGGAGTGGCCGAGGGCAGGAACCAAAGGACCATCTCTTCTCCAGAGCATGAGGCTGCGGAAGGCAGCGTGGACTCGGCCAGGCCAGCGGGGCAAAGGCTGTAGAGGAGGCCCAGAGTTCTTACAAAACAGCCCTTTAGAGCACAAGTGACCAGACGCCCCCCCTCGCAGCCCTTCTGAGGCGGGACCACCCTTGGCATGGCTCTTGGCTCTGGACGTGCCCACCCACTTCCTGCAGCCCCGGCTTTCTCCCTCTGAGTCTCCCCTCTGGCCTGGCCCAGCCTGGGAACCTGCCAGCAGGCCCCAGCCCAAGGGTCCAGCCATTCGCGCCTCCTCGGCATCACCGGGGTTCACAACGGCCTCAGCTCCTCCAGGGCTCCCCACAGGCTCTGCCCTGGCCGTGCTGTACCTGGCGCAGGGGCAAAGGGTCGCTGCTGCTGCGAACTGGAGCCCTGGGAGGGAGCGTGACCGCGTGCCGAGGCCAGAGTTGGTGTTGGGGCGGGGGCAGGATGAGAGCCCCCTCCCCACCCCCCGAACGAAGTCAAACTGCAGCAAAGGCTGCTGTAACCGCAGCGCTGCACCTCCTGCTGGTGCCATCTGCTGTGCGGGCTCCCTGGCCAGCTCCCACCGCCTGGGGAGGGGCCCGCGGCCATGCTCCGCACTCTGCCTATGCCTTCCTTTTCCCCAGGGAGCAGGAAAGTGCAGCCCGCGGCAGGCCAAGCGGGTCTGTTTGCAATCAGCCGCACAGCTGCCAGGCCCACATCTGGCTTGGCCGCCTTCCAGGGCAGCGTGTTAAAAGGGGACGGAGGGAGGCAGATCGGAGCCAGAGAGAGAAGGGGGAGCCGAGACTAGAAAGGGCAGCCGCTGCCTCTCTCCGCACCGGCCCAGGATCTCAGCGCAGCAGGTAGGAGAGGGAAAAACTCCCCTTGGCTTCGCTCGTCCTGGCCTGGCTCACACGCGGCACCAGCCCTTCCCCACGCGCTGCGTGCCAGAGCCCCCCTGGCTCGGGGCAGAGCACTCGGCGGCTGTGTGACGTCTCAGCTGCTGGCTAGGGCGAGGGGTTCCACACGAGCGGCTCATGGGCTGGCACCGGGTGGAGGTGCTCCAAGGGGGACCAGGCCCTGGCCAAGCATTGCCCGGTGTTAGCAGGGCTGGGGGCTCTCCGGGAGCAGTGCCCTGCCACTCATCCTCTGCCAGCTCACTCGAGCCGGGGGCCTGAGCAGGGAGAAAGATCCTGTCTCCAAGCAAAGGTGATGAGAGCTGGGAAGGGAACCGACAGACTGAGGGACCCTGGGGCCCTTCACTGCCAGCTTCTGGCTAATGCTCTGTCCCCAGCTCCCCCCAGGCAGCTCAGAAATTGCTGTGTGAAGCAATTCCACTTTGAGCACCGGGGTAGTCCCCTGCCCGCCCCGCCCAATGCCACGGTGCCCAGGGCCTGGTTCCTGCAGGGCTCCCACCAGGAGATTTACGGGTGGGACGCTCATAAAATCAGGAATCCAGAGGGGACAGGCCAAAGGCTGCCCAAGGCCAGAGATGTTTGTGGCCCAATATCTGAGTGTCTGCCTCCCCCGGAGGGACGTATTCCTGGAGCTTTCATCACAGGGCAATCTTTAATTCAAGATTAATCTTCGGTGCCTGCAGGACAGTCCTGAAGGGTTGGCATCCTGCATGCTGGGAGTGTGGCCAGTGGTGGGGGGAGGCAGCCGAAGTGGGGACATGCTTGGGGCATGGCCCATGGGGGTGGCGGGGGGCGCCCTCTGGCCAGGGCCTGTGGGGGTGGTTTTGGGGGGGGCCCACTCGGGGCAGGGCCGGTGGGGCTGTCTGTACTGATCTCTCCCTAATCCCTTTCTGCACCCAGAGGACCATGAAGTGGTTTCTCCCCGTCCTGCTCTGCGTGGCTCTCAGCTATGCTGCAAAGCAAAGGCAGCAGCCGGCGGAATGGGACTACAGATCCGAAGGTAAAGCCGCTCCCAAAATTTCAGCACGGCTTGAATCGTCTGGCCCAGGGTGGCTGCAGACACAGGGCTGGGGGCCCAGCCACGGAGCAGCAGCTCCCAGCTGACCCCAAGTCACCTCTGTCCCTGTGGGCTCTGCCAGGGAGAGGTGGCCGCTAGCTCAGACCAGGACTCCTGGGTTCCAGGACAGCTCCGCCAGTGCCGTGCTGTGTGACTTTGAACCTACTCATTCCCCCTTTGTGCCTCAGTTTCCCTGCTAGATGACAGGGCTGATAACCCTGTGCTCCCTCCCAGGGCTGGGAAAGGGAATCAGCGGTGCTGTGCTTTGGGAGCCTCGGCTGGACAGCGCTAGGGACAAGCAATGGGCGTGGGAATCATGGTGTCTCTGAGGGACGTGGCCGAAGTTGAGAGCTGGAGCCGTCGTGGTCCTGGGGCCGGGGAGGGGTTCTGTGGGCTCGGCAAGGCTTCCCCAGCTCTAGTCGCTGGCTCCAGGTCCCCCAGCAGCCGGGGCTGCCGTGGGCCCAGGTGCTCCCCAGGGTTTGTCTCCTTCCCAGCTGAGAAGGTGAGCCTGAGGGGATGTGCCAACCTCACCGTGGTCCTGGACAACTGGAAATTTGCCATCGTGACGGAGATCAAGAACCTGCTCCTGTACGACCACCAAACCGTGCTCCCCGACTACGGCAGGTGAGCCGGGGCGCCGGGAAACTCCAACGCCAGCCTGTGCCGGTGCCGGCCGCATGCTGACCAAAGCTGCCGGGCATGGAGCTCTCCGGTCCTGAGTCCCACTCTAGACGTGGGCCCAAGTGAGAGGCGTTTGTGGTGTCTAGTTGCTTATGGACGCGTGTCCAGGCTCCACAGGGCACTGCTGGGGAGACGCTGGTCTGGATGGGGTGGGATGGGAAGCTCACATGGTGCCTGCCCTGGCTATGCCTGAACGAGCCAGTGCTGGGAGGGGGGGGGCTGCACATCTCTGTGAAGCCTGGGGGAAAGCTCACCCCCTCCCTCACTGTCCCGCCATAGGATCAAATCCCTTTCCGAAGCCCTCGATGACCTCTACAAAGAATTCAACGCGCTGAAGGGCCGGCTCGGGGAGCTGACCACCCGCTTTGAGGGGGTGGAGGCCTTTGTGGATGAGATGAACACGAGCCGAGGCCAGACTCCGGCCAAGCCTCCGATCAGGGCCGCTCAGCCGGAGGCTGACAAACCGGTGGTCCCCGCCAAACGCCGCCGGGTCCTGGTCAGGAACAACCGGAAGCCCGTGGAGCAACCAGGGGATGGGTCTCAGTAGGGCCAGCCCCAGCCGCATGCCCTGGGGGCCAGAAATGCCGCGGACTTTCCCATGCGTTTAGAAGCTGCATGTGTCTTTCTTTCTTCCCTAAAGAGACGTTTCCCCGGGAGCCAGGCACCCGGGCATTCCCCTGCCCTCTGGATCAGCACCAGCTCCTAGGTGGGGCATGATGTGGCACTTCATGCTCACCGCCCCGCAGCTGCAGTGTTGCCAGCAGCGTGGACTCAGGCAGGATCCACTGGATCATGTTCTGGGGGGAGCTCCTGGACCCCGCGACTGGGTGTTGTGCCCACGACCGGGACCAGGCAGCAGTGCCATGAGCTGCAGGGGGCATGGATTTCTTTGAATCCAGACTCTAGCTGGTCTTAATCCACCGCTGGCTGTACTGAAGCACACGCTGGGGCTTGTGGGAGGGGAGCTGGAGGGACGGGGGATGCTGGGGTGCCACCTTCCGGCAGGAGAAAGGCGCCCATTGGCTCTGGACGGCACAGCAGATCAGGCACTTGCCTGTCGCATGTGGAGTGAGTGTAGGGGGTCTTGGGCTCATTCCACCCCCTACCCCCAATTTGCTCACTGCACAAAATAAATTGTGAGGCCTGCTTGGCCTAGGCTGCTGTGGGACCAGAGCCAGGGGCTGAGAGGGAGCATTGGCCTGGGTGCGTGGGGGAAGCTGGTGGGCACCTGCAAAGCCCAGGCCAGCCTAGCTCGCCCTTCGCTTGCACAACCAGGAGAATTCTTTACTAGCCGGACCTGCTCTCCATGTCCCACAGCGGCATTCCCCTGGGCTTGAGAACCCAACGGGGGGTAGCCAATCTGAAATCAGCCAGGCCTAGCCACAGGTGCATGCGGGGAAGGGCCTTATATACAGGCAGCCCTAAGAAACCCATCAACGGGGTGCGGGACTGGCCAGCAGTGGGCACGCTTAGTGAGGGCAGGGGCTGCAGGTGCAAGCGAGCTGTGCCCGGGCCGTTCCCAAAGCCTGGGCCATGGTGGGTTTGGGCGGGAGGGGGGCTGGGCTTAACCTGCTGGGCTCTAGGGGAAATGAGTCGTTCCTGGATTTTTTCCCTCAATGGGAGGGAGAACCCGCCCCTCGCACCACATTGCTGGCTGCCCCTCCAGCCACTCACTAGTGAGACGCCCTAGTTTCTGGAACGTTCAAGTTTTGAGGCAAAACAAACAAAAAAAATATCTTGGAAATTAAAGGACCGGCCTGTTCCGCTTGCTTCATTCCCGCCCCTCCGCGGGAGCCAGAGCCCATGAGCGGGAAGACGGGGGGGACAGCAGGGACAGTGGAACGCCAAGCTGCCACGTAGCCAACTCGCCCTGATCCGCCGCAGC